TGCTCCTTGGAGGCCAAGATGGCCAAACTTAATCTCTCATACTTTAGACATATTGTCAGGAGGGACCAGTCACTGGAGAAGGATATCATATTTGGTAAGGTGGAGGGTCAGAGAAAAAGAGATGGATTGGCCAAATGGCAGCATCGATGGACTCAAGCATGGCAACAATAGTGAGGTTAGCCCTGGATCTGGCAGTGTTTTGTTCTGCTGTACATAAGGTCGCTGTGGGAGGGTACCGACTCGATGGTACCTAACAACAACAGGAGACTTGTGAAAAACTTTCAGTCCATTGTGCTGATGGCTCTGAACAAGCGCTTTGAACCAATTCCATCCAGTTTGAGTCTCTGCTGAGAATATACCTTTCCATCTCGGAGATACTGAATCTGAATCTCCATGTTAACAAATGCTCAGCTGATTGTCTAACCTGAATGAACTGCTCTGAAGCTCTGCTTTGAACAGCAGAGAGAAATAAGTAGCCAGAACCTGGTTTGCTTTCAGCTGCCCTTTTCGTCTTCTCTAACTGGAAGTCAGAGCTCAAAGTCTTGTGGTCTTAGATGACCCCTGGTATGCCCTGCCTCGTGTTAGAGACACATCCCAACCATTTACCTACCCACTGTCATGAAATGGATTCCAACTCACAGTGGGCCTGTTTAGGGTTTCTGAAGCTGTAAACCTTTACCAGGGCAGAACACTTTCTGCTTTCTTCCATAGAATGACTGGTGGGTGTGTCGATCTTTGATTTGTCAATCTTTCGTTTAGCAGTAGAGTGCTTATCCTACAGCACCACCAGCTCTCCTTCAGCTATTTCCTAGTTGTCTACAAATGTTCCACAGATATGGAGTCTGCCAATAGCACTTAAGTATCTGCACATGTTCACAGACATCGTGTTTGCCTAGGTGTGTGTTGGAATCAATTCGACAGCACAGCAAGTTGCGTTTCCTTAGATATGAGAATGCTCAATACGTCATGTGTATATATGTGTATGTTCTGGTGTTGCTGAATGCTGTCAAGTCCTTGTAGATAAACCTTCTGCGATGCACAGGACAGCCCAATACAATAAAGGATTAGCCAGTGCCATGGAGATAAACTTTTAATAGATCACCAAGGACTATGGTGGCTTTTCAATGCCAGTAGAAGGATTCGGCTCTTTTTACCTCGTCTTTAAACCAGTAGCTCTCAACTAGTGGTGATTTTGACCATAGTGGGCCTGTATAAGGTCTTCAAGGCTCTAAATCGTTGTATTTACATATAAGGGCAAATTCTTATGCAGAAAATGTTCTATTAACTGCAAATTAATTCTTAACTGTAATGCAGACTACCTCTAGAAAGATAATAAAATTTAGACCAAGTTAACGTTTCCTAAACCTACTCTCTAGGTATGAAGATGAACTCTATTTTTGAGATACCATTCTTGATTTTACAGATTAAATGTTTTCAAATATGGAGATGTTCAGGTGAGATCATCTGTAAAGTTCCTGGCATACATACTGTCAGTACTTAGTAAAGTTTTGTTCCTCTATTTAAAGCAGTGAGTTTTTAAAATGTTTCTGATTCCACTTCACAGATGATTAAAGGAGTGTCTTTCATACTTCATTAATTGCAGATTCCTAAATAAAGATGATGTCTTTGGAACAACTGTCACCTGTGAGAATTCACAGGCACACTTGTTTGTAAAAAGGCCAGTTTCTGCATGCAAATACACACACACACACACACACACACACACACACACACACACACATATATATATATATATACAAGACCTAGTTTTAATAATACAGTTTCATTCCTGACCAGCATTTTATCTGTATTATATTGATTCTTTGATTTTATAGTCAGCTCCTTTAATTCCTCTTTAATTTTGGGTTAATAAGAAATAATGCTTAACATATATCTTTTCCCCAGGGTCAACTGTAAGTATTAATTGGTTTGTAAAATGTTTTTTTAACTGTTGAAGTGAAAAGGCCCCTTATAAACAACCAATGTTACTGTGGTTGTGTCTCACTATGTGTGTTTTGGATACTGGTTACTGCCTTTTAGACACTGCTTCATGCATCTAAAAAATTTTAAATGTTTACTTAAAAGACCGAACATAGCCAGATGGTTGATATCAGGAAGTGATTAAGTTTTTCTACCACAGAATAATTTGTCTTCAGTGATGTTGTTGTTGTTAAGTGCCATCGAGTCGATTCCGACCCATAGCGACCCTGTATAGGGTTTCCAAAGAGTAGCTGATAGCACCTGCATAAATGGATAGTTGTACATTGCACCTTTGACTTGAATTGTTAATGCTACTGCTGCCGCTACGTGCCATCTAGTCACTTCTGACTCATAGTGAGGACCTTGTATAGGCCTTCTGAGGCTGTAAACCTATATGGAAACAGAAAGCCTCATCTTTCTCCCACAGAGCAGCTTGTCGATTCAAACCGCTGACCTTATGATTGGATGCCCAACACGTAAACCCACTATGCCACCGGTGTTCCTTTAAATTTTTAATATCTTTGTGAACTTGTCCAAGAAATGCACAAAGATCATAATGACCCTAAACCTAGAGGTAAGGTTAATTTAAAGATGAGCTTTTAATAGATCACTTAGAACAATTGTGGCTTTTCACTGCCAGTAGATGGATGCTGCTGTTTTTAACTCTTCTTAAACCAGTGGCTCTCAACCAGTGGTGATTTTGCACCCCAGAGGTATTTGGCAATGTCTGTAGACATTTTTGATTATTGCAAATGAGGGATGCTATTGGAGTACTTGTGTGGCACTGTAGAATAAGCACTGGGCCACATGGTCAGTATGAATTGCAAGGTCAGCAGTTCAAACCCACCAACTGCTCCTTGGAAATTCTGCATAGGTTTACTATGAGTCGGAACCAACTTGATGACACTTAACCACAATTGGGATCTAATGAATAGAAGCCAGGAATACTGCGGAACATTCTACAATGCACAGGACAGTCCTGTCCAACAAAGGATTATTCAATGCAAAGTGGCAACAGTACCAAGGTTGAGAAACTCCTCTAGAATGTTGTTAAGTGGCATCCAGTCAGTCCCGACTCATAGAGACCCTGTGTAGGGTTTCTGAGGAGCGGCTGATAGGTTTGAACCACTGACCTTGACCTTGTAGTTAAGTTAGCAAACCATTGCTTACCCTACAGCGCCACACCAGGGTCCCACCAATAGAATTTTCTCACTCTAAAATTTCCTGAATTGGTCTTCAAGGTGTTCTTTTAGGTTTGTTGCTTGATGTGTTCTTTAATCCCTCTTGCTGGATCTCTTTGTAGGTTGGAATTGTGGGAAGAACAGGAGCTGGAAAAAGTTCCCTCATTTCGGCCCTTTTTAGATTGTCAGAACCCGAAGGAAAAATTTGGATTGATAAGATCTTGACAACCGAGATAGGACTTCATGATTTAAGGAAGAAAATGTCAATCATACCTCAGGTATGCAAGTCAGAGCAATCTAGCATGCTTCCTTTATAAGGACACCTAAGTTTATGGCTTTTAATTTTACTGCTTTTTTTTTTTTTAATGGATGAGTCAGTCCCTTCCCCCAATAGAACATATTTTTAAACAACAGGTATTTTTATAAGGGGGCAGGTTTTATTTGTTCGTTTGTTTTAGGGGCATACATGTGAGAGATTTAGTAATAACTTACAGGGTTTTGGACTCAGACTTTGTTTAATTTGTGGGCATTGTTTTCTCAGCAATCATCAGGCCATCAAGAAGAACACATGAGCAGACACAATGCAATATACACAGAATATATGCAGAATATACACAATACACATATGCACAGAATACACACAGAATATAAATAATACACATACCACAGAATATATATAGCATATACACGCCATTCACATATATACACAGAATGCACACATAAATGCACAGTATGCACACAAAGAATATATGCATACATACATAATACATATGTGCACAGAATACATACACACAGCATGCACATTCATAAACAGTGCATACAATCACAAAATACACACCAAATGGACATATGTACACATACATACAGAATACACACAATCACACAGAACATACATATACACAGAATATATGATCACAAAGTACATACACAGACTACACACACACAGGTGAGATGGGACACATGGCAGGAAGACAAGACAAAGTGCAACTTATGTGCTTTCTGAGAAGGTGTCTAAGGAGTGCTCTTTCATGTCTGTGTACTTTTAATAGATCACTTAGAAAAATCTTGGCTTTTCACTGCCAGTAGATGGATTCTGCTGTTTTTAACTCGTCTTAAACCAGTGGCTCTGAACCAGTGGTGATTTTGTACCCCAGAGGTATTTGGCAACGTCTGCAGACACTTACAAACATGACACCTAAATAGCAGGGGATGTCGACTTTCAGCGTATGCTGTCCCTGTATTAAAGATCCTCTCAGCTAGTGGAAGTATGACTGAATGCTTACTGTAGAAATAAGAGTTTCAGTTTGCACATTGTATCCACTTGGGTTGCACCCATCTCTGAAACGGCCTTAATGAAATGTACTTAGCAGAGATAATGGGTGTGTCTGTAAAGTTCTTTCATATTCTTGGAAGAAAGGCTCTAGAAACGTGTCCTGCATTATCTTGAATGCTTCTTAATAAGAAATGTTTGTATGCTTGTAGACATAAAAGAAGTCTAAATAAAGAAATAATGTTAGATGATTCTTGGCTGTGCTGGGAATGTTTTGGAAGCACATCTGAGCAAAGACTCAATTTACCTTGACATCACCAGGTTTGGGTTCTGTTCCATAAGTTTCCACCCTATTTGTGAGCATGCCTTATGTCTATCCCCTCGAGAAGGTGCTTACCAAACAGTGCTAAGCTTTGTATCCAGGCAGATAGTGATCACCAACCATTGTAAACACAGAATGTTTATTTCTTCATTTTATAGACATTCGTCTCCAAGGTGCAATGTTGGGTGATGTTAAAAAAAACAAAACATGTCTGGAGAGACTCCGCAGCACATGAAGGGGCCCGGGAAATGATTCTGAAGACCCCACAGGGTAGAGTCTCGAAAAACTCTGAGAGTTATCATTGTTAAAATGCCATCAAGGCAGTTCCAATTCATGGAGACCCTGTATAGGTTTTCCAAGAGCTGCCGGTGGGTTTGAACTGCTAACCTTCTGATCAGCAGTCCAGTGCTTATCCTGTAGCACCACACCAGGGCCCCTGAGAGTTAACAGAGCCCCAAGTTTTGCATCCACTCCTTACTTGCCAACATGGGTAGGTTCCAAAGATCAGGTCATTATGTGAAAATCAGCCTTATGTGAAAATGGGGGCTGACCACATCAGATCCCCAGACGGAGGATGACTACATCGTTCTGTAACTGCCAAGCCCCTGAGAACCGTGGCCTGGCGGGCTTACTCATAACCGCAGCCGGTGCTGCTCTTCACCTCCGCATTCATTATTACCAGATGTGGTGGTGTTCGTGTGCAAATTAGTAGCATAGTAGGTTTTGTTGTCAATGCGAATTGTGACTTTAGGAGAGAGTTGGTAAGACAGGAGTAGGGTATATGAGGAGGTCACTTAGCCTACCAGATTCAGGCTCCTTGTCTTTAAACCAGGAGAAGTAATGACTGTCTCACAGACTGCCTGTGAAGACCTAATTGGATAAGAAACTACTCGTGGCCTGGTTGTTAGGAATGCTCAATAAATCGTCTTTATTTTTATTATGGGAATCCTGGTGTAGTGCTGTGGGCTAATGCGCTGGCCTGCAAAGTCGCTTTAAACCACAGGGTCAGAGGTTCAAACTTGCCAGCTACTCCTTAGAAACTCTATACAGGGTTGCTATGGGTCAGAACTGACTCGGTGGCAGTTTAACAACAACAATAATTGTTATATTGGGAGTCATGGTATGGCACTGTGGATTAATGTACTGGACTGCAAAGTCAGTTGAACTGCAAGGTCAGCAGTTCAAACTCACCAGCTGCTTCTCGAAAACCCTATACAATTTCTCTATGAGTTGGAACGACTCAATGGTACTTAACAACAGTAGCAATGACAACGATATTGTTATAACTAGGAGCCCTGGTGGTGCTGTGGAATAAGCACCGTACAGCTAACCACAAGGCAGGCAGTTCAAACCCACCAGCTGCTCCAAAGAAGATGCCTCCCATGAAGACTTACAGTTGTCAAAAGGAGTTTGGGGGCACAGTGGTTAAGCACTTTGCTCCTAACCAAAAAGTCAGTGGGTAAAACACACCAACCTCTCTGCCGGGGAGAGGTGGGACTGTTGGCTTCCATGGTCACGTGAGCGCTCCTCCCGAGGCTCGCTCTGAGTCAGAATTGCCTCCGCAGCAGCAGGCATTAGGGTCACCTGGATAATGCAAGCAGTTTAAGCACTTGACTACTAGCTGAAAGGCTGGTGGGTCAAACCCATCCAGAGTTCCTTGGCTGGAGATCTGCTTTAGAAAAGTTACAGCCATGAAAACTCTACAAAACAATTATTCTCTCCAAACATGGGTTACCAAGAATCCCAATCTGCTTGACATAGAACAACAATTTTTGCTAAAAGTTGGGCTACTGGTCTTTCAGGTATTATTACTACTTAGACTCCTGGTGTGGTGCTTTAGGATCAGCACTGGACTGTGAACCACAAGTTGGCAGTTCAGATCCACCAGCTGCTCCTCAGAAACCCTGTACAGGTTCGTTATGGGTCGGAATTGACTTGACGGCACTTAACAACAAGTGTAAATAAGGGCACGTTCTGGAAGGATCTTGCTCTTTGATTTATTTTTATGTCTTTGTGGCTTTTTTATATTTATTTCTGTGATACCAATATATAATTAAATAGTGAAGGGGAAGAAAACGAGCGCTAACAAGTTCTAGGGAAAAGCCTCATGGAGAAATCTAATGTCGACAAGAAAAAGAGGCAAGAATGTTACGTTTCCTTTTATTTTCTGGTTTCCTTCCCGCCCAGGCTCTTACTGCTTTCCCTGCCACTGCTCTGCCCCCCACAAATACTTTGTAGTCCCCCACGAAGGCCACTGACATTTTTCTCCGTCCCTCGCCACATTCTGCGCTATTTTCGACCTCTCCTTGAGGACAGACACTGTGTCTTGTGTTTCTCTTGCTTTAGTGTGCCATGCATTCCCTGACAAGTCACACAATATTCAGAATAATTCCTAACATTTGTGGAATCCTTAGCATGTTTGAGCCACTTCCCCTACCATCTTGCACTTCATCCTCATGACAGTTCTATTTGACAGATACAAAAAACTGAAGCACAGAGAGCTGACCCCACAGAACTAGTCAATAGCATAGCCAGGACTCAAATTTAGGGCAGTTCCCAACTCCATCTCTTGAGCTTCTACCAACTCTACCAGGGACTTTAAAATTGCGCCGCTGACTCTAACCCACAGCAAGAACTCTGCTTTGCATCATGCACACATACCAAGAGAAAAATTGCACAAAACAATACTGCTCTTACTCTGTGCTCTGCTGTGTTCTTTCCTGTTTTATTCTAGTTTATATAGAAGAAAAAAATGGCAGTCACGACTCACAAAATTGATTTCATGATCCATTAGTTGCACCTGCAGTTTGAAAACCCTGTTGTATGTTAGCATTATTTCAAGGAGCCTGGCCTATGTTACTTAATCTCACAGCTGCCCTGAAAGGGGGAATATTATCCCCATTTTCCAATGTGGAAACTAAGGCTCAGGGATGGTTAGTAACTTACCTGAGTCAAGCAGTTAAGCAGTAGAGTCAGAACTCAGGACTATCTGACTCTTATTCTCTCTGTATATTTATTATTTATTTATTCCCAATAAATGCTTGTTGAACTAAATGGTGTCCCATCAGATATTTCCCCCATTGTTTTCCTATTCACCCTACTGAAAAAATATTATCATGAAACATAACGGAAACTAATAAATACGAAGTAAAGGGTGACACCACATGATAAGCACTTGGCCTCAAGTTCAGTTTGAACAGCAAGGTCGGTGGTTCAAGCTCAACAGCCGCTCCTTGGAAACCTTATACAGGGTCACTATGACTTGGAACCGACTCAATGGCACTTAACAACAACAACAACAACAACAACAACAACAAAGTTGGAAGAGAATGCTTCCCTCATTTGGACAATTGAGTGGTTTGGGAGAACTGAATTCTTTGTGATTTTTGCCCAAAACTTCAAGTCACACCCAGTACTTAAAATCAGTTTAGAAGAGGGATTTGTTGACTTTTGTGTCTTGGTTGGGTAAATATAGTGGAAGATGCTCAGAATCACACCTGGCAGAGCTGAGCATGCTTTCCCTTTACAACATCTACCTGGCTGCAGAGGTGGGAGACTGCCTGTTGGCATAGCGACTGGGAGGTTGCACAAGATTCGCCTAAAGTGCAGAAAATGTACATCCCTTTTCTCCTCAAGTGACGGCAAACAGGGTTGCATGTGTCTCCTATTGTTAGATGTCGTCAAGT